TGGAGATGCAAGCTAAAGTACCTGCAACTATGCTGTAATTTCCTCTTAGAGAGAATTTACCAAGCTGAATTTTTTGGTAACTGAAAATATTTTCTAGTCCAATTGCCATTTTTAATTTTTTTTTTAAAGATTCAGGATAACCTATTCAACCATTGGAGAGGTTTATAGTCTTTTCACAAAGGAAGAAATAGATCAGAAAGAGAAAACAGTGGTGCAGAAACTAACAACTGCTGTCAGAACCGAGTTGTTTTAATTCAGTGACTCGTCTCACAAGACCGTCTTTTTATAATGTTACCCATAACCAGGGAAGACAATGGTTTCCCTTGATTTCCCGCCCCCCCACCTCCCCAGTGTAGCTTTATATGTCACTGGCCCTAGCAACAGTGAATAATAGCGATGGATTTGTCAGCAGACAAGGACCATGCAACAGACCCGCGAGGGGGGCCCCAAGCACCCGGTGTTATCCAAGCACAATCGCCCTGTTATTTGATAACAACCAAGTCTGCAAGCAGAACACAGCTTTTGATATCGCACTTCAGTGTCAAACTGACAAGCTACAGCCAAGTTACGACAATAAACCTGCGTGACAGGTTCACTGTAGTTTAGAAAACATTTCTTGCCTAAGTGCACAAGGACAAGCTTCATCTGCCGCATCTTTATTGCGTGTTCAAAACTGTGAGTCAGTGAGTCAGTTCACAAAAAGACAAAAGTATCACTGACGTAGAGAAAACAGTACAGACAAACAATCAGCTTTGCTACCTCCATACAAAGGAAACTCTCAGCGAAAGAGGGGGTGAAAAAGTGCTATGAAAAACTATGCAGGAAGTACTGTGAAAATGTGGGGGGTCTGCAGCTCAAAATACAAGTTTGTACCACTAAATCTGTCCGACCAGCATCTTTGAATAACTCTACCAAGTTAACACAAAATTCAAGTTTGACAAAAGGTGATGCAAACTTTCTCAATACTTTAAAAAAAAAAAAAGAGGCCAGACAAAACAAAACAAAACCTAACTATGTGCCAGTAACATAGAAAACTTCCCTGATCTCCTTGAGACCTACCAAGCATATTTTAATTTTTTTTTTCAAAACTCATTTCTAGACTGCAGATGAGCAAATTAGGTGCCATCTACAACACTCCACCAACAACAGCTGAGACAGCTTTGCCAACATTCCTAGCTTTGCCATGCAGCAACTTCAGTTTCCATTTCTGTATTTCATCCAGCAGGACCACTCGAAACAATGGAGGCAGGGGTAAAGGTTTTCTTTCCTAGGTTTCAGAAGGGTCTGGAAATAGAAACAAGCATCTCTCATTATTGTCTGTGACAGAGGGTGGAAGGTTTCATGCTTTTCTGTTACCAGTTAGCCAAACGGCACAGGGAGAGAGGCTCTCTCATTTTCAAACCACACTTGCAGGACACCACCATACTCAAAATCCTGCCTCCCCTTCTCTGTCGCAGCAGCTGAGAATTATGAAGGAGGGGGATGGGACAGCTGGGCTTCTCATTAGGAGCACCGCACCTGAATCCACAGACAGCCATTTGTACCCACCTCCCATTTGCAGCTTCCACCCTGCAGCCAATAGATGTCTTTCAAAATCTCGCCTGGGGTATACAGCAGCACAAGCACAGTGACAGGCAAGCTGGTTTGGTACGGCGGAGTTAAAAAATGCAACGGAGAGATTTAGAAGGAAGCCAGCATCGGTGTTACTTGTCTCCATGAGAACACAACTTACTAGAACACTCCAGCTCCCAAGATAAAGTATCTTCCCTACAAGCGGGCTACATCTGCATCTGTTGGTTATCAATATAAGCCTTTAACAACTGTCAGATCTCATGGCAGCGGTCCCACTAGCTGCTCGCACGTAACTCGGAGCGCGCGAGAGCACTCAGTGGGGAGCAGGCCTCAGTGCAGCTCGGCTCTGCACGGGCGCCTTTTTCAGCGGCTTGGATTTCCCTTCCTTCCCTAGAGCACATCTTTAATTAATAGGTCACTGAACCGGTTTATGTTAATTGTCAGAAGTACCTCGTCTTTGTTCCCAAGGGGAGGGACCAAAGTTCATCCAGTTGTCGCCGACGAAGCAGAATCGCAAAACGTCAGGTTTTGCGCGCACCTAAACCGCCACCGACTCCTCAGGGAGCTGTTTCCTGCCGCGGCGAACGCCTGCCCTCCCGCCAGCG